TCGCCTCCTGCTTGCCCTTCATGCAGCAGTGCTCTGGGCTGGCGCCTCGACCTGCTCGTAGCCCTCCAGCCTGGCAGGGCACAGGGGAAGGGGCTTTCCTGCAGCATCCTGTGTTCCTCCATCTTCCATCGGGAAAAGGGGAGCTCCTAGAGAGCTGAAGTGGAGGAAGAGGTTCTGTGGCTCCCGACCTAAATGAAACGAGCTGTCTGTGGCATCTCGCACAATGGAAAAATTAAATCAAACTTTCTCCTTGAACACAGGTGGTCCCACGAGTACCAGGAGGCCACAATCGACAAAATAATCCGCTTTCTCCAGGGCCGTTCCTCCCGGGACTCATCGGCTGGGTCAGAGAATGGTCTGGACTGCTTGCCCTCGCTGGGGCAGACCTAGAACCATCACAGCTGCCTCATCCCCTCCAGAGACTTCCCAGGTGACCCCTTTTTATGTGGGGCCAAATTTCTCCCTCTAGATTTTTCCCCATCTTATTACCCTGGCTTGAGACAAAGCCTGTGGCTCATTAGCTCCCTTTCCCCCCCAAATGCAAGCCCCTGGTGCTAAAAGGTCAGTACTCACTCCTACAGTGCCTGGTGAGCCAAGCCAGGGTGGACTCTGGGATGGACAAGTTGTCTTCCACATCCTCCTTGGAGTGGCAGGACATGCAGGGTACGTGTCCCACAAGCAGGGGGTTCGAGGGACACTGACACTGTCCAGGACCCCTCAAACAGCTGCAGCTTCTCCTAGAAGCACCTCCGAAGAGGAGATATCTTCTGAAGAGTGAAAGCTGGGGAGCTGGTGAGGGGTACGATGCAAGGGGACGCGTGAGAGAGAAGAGCGGACGGTCCATAAGCGTCGCATGGCCTCTGCTGAGTGCCACGGGAATATCGTTGCGGTCAGAAGCTGAGAGCAGGAAAGGGCAAATAAAAGCTAAGCCCTAACGAAATCCCTGTGTTTGGGAAAGATAACGCACAGGGGCTTCTAAACTGCTCAGCAGCGGCTTTCTCTTTCCCAGTAACGTCCCTTTATCACACGAGCTCGCTCCCTCCTTGAGGGCCTTTCACCTCCTAATGCTGCAAAACCACTCTGTGCTCTTAACTCTGGCAGTGGAAGTTTGGGCTTAGATCACGCGAAGTTTTAGCAGGGTCTTTGCAAAAAAGTGCTTTTAAAACAACCCCCTTCGCTCCATTTGGTGTTTCAGCTTTACCACTTTATGAGGTCTATACTCATAGGGCAAAGGAGGCTGGATTGTGACTCCGGAGAACATGTATCCATGCACTGTACCTGAAGAGGAGTTACTATACTCTGGCTGTATTTTATTCTGTTGGTGGTGCTCCACAGCAGATCTCCCATGATCTGTTCCTTCAAACAGGAGCTGGTGTATCTCTCTGCCAACCATTTCTCACCCCTGGCAGCCCTGGCTAAGCTCCTCAGGCTCAGGGTGGTCCCTACTCTCTGCTGGATGCAATACCAAGTAGCATTTTTTTTCTTTCTACTGACCTCTTTTCAACATCCACCAAGTCTTTTTGCATCAACGCACTTCGAAATATCAGGAAAGAG